TCACCATTGTCACCAACAAGTCATTTGATGTTTAACGTTTGACAACTACTTGCTGGATTGACAACCCTGATAATAATAACTTAAAATAACTTTAAAAGTAAGATAAAAATTATAAAAAACGGAGTTAAAGTTTAAAATTATATAAATCAGTAAATAAATATAATACAAAAAATAATTTTTATAAAAATAAAATATTTTAAATAATAAGTCAATATTGGTAATTACTTTTATAATATTTCAAATATTTTATTGTGTTGTAATGTAAGTTTTCAATTAATTAATAATTTAAGTAGACTAAAAAAGACCATAATTAATTCTAAATTTTTTATATGTATTTATTTATTTGAGCATCTTTTAGTGATTATAAACACGAAATTAATTTATTTTGATGTAAATTATAATTTTTCGACCAAGTTTTATTCAGATGAAATTTATTTCCATCTCTTATTGAGCCGAGCGCAGACGGCGCGCCCTCATTTCTTTTCCGCAATTCCGCAGCATTTTCTTGGCTGCGGGGAGTGTATAATTATTATTATTTTGCACAGCGTCTCTCACTATACATAATTCCACGGTGGGGTCTCTCGTCGTCGTTGGCTCGCTCAAGGGGGTTTAAAAAATCCGCACCCACGGTTTGTTGGCGCCGGGACGAAAACGAGCGGCACAAGAAGAAGAAGAATAAATGAGCAATAATAATTACGCGAGGCGGGCGGACGTAATGAATTTCTTTGAAGCAGAGCTAGGGTGCGCAATGGCGTTACCCTTGATGACTGAATTTTCCAGCTTTGCGAAATGAGAAGGAAAAATATGTTCGGCCAGAATGAGAGTAGAGAGCAAAGACCAAAATGACTTTTTTTATGAAAATTCCTTTTGCTAAAATATTGCTGTAAGCAGTTTGTTTGATTTACTTTAAGATTATTTTTATAATTTTAAGAGATCGAGATGGAGTAAAATCTTGAGGAAAATATATTAAAAGACAAAAACTTTATTTTCTTACATTAGACTTGCGTCTCTGATTATGCTTTTTTTCTCCATAAAAAGGGCTAAAACTTAATCATAACAATTGTAGAATCAATCACTCATGAAATTACCTAAAATAGAGATTTCAAATATTAATTTTTCATCCATAGATTGACTTTGATGCTAATCCTTTTTTCTTAACACCAAAATGAAATTTATTTGGTGCAAATCACTCCCCCTCTGTTCCAAAGTCGGTCCTTTTCAGAGCTGCGAGAAAAGACTGAATGTTTCTCATTGAGCGCGAAATCCCTTTCAGCTTTTCTTCTCTTTTTATCCGCGTCTGGCCGGCTCTCCTCCTCCTTTCAAAATCCCCTTTTACGGCTTTTCCATCAGAACACTTTTTTATTCGTCGTCCCTTTTCTTTTAATTCCGCTCGCCAGCCAGTATAAATTTGATAGCGCCGCGCGTGGCAATTAATATGGCAGACGAGCAGCGCAATTAAAAAGGATCTTGCCGAGGGCTTTGCCAAGTAAATGGACTTTGCATTCTTTCTTATTGGATGCTGGGGGAATTCGAATTTGCTCTGCCGCCTCGTCTGCTCTTGCACCAGAATTATTTTCCTCTCGCTTCTCCGCCCGCGCCTTTTCTCGGCGCGCACACGCTGGAATTTTACTTCATTTTTCGCATCATTTGCACCAATTCCCATCACCTAATACGTTTTGAACGACGTCTAATTATTTACAACATGCAGCTCCACAGCCCTTAAATTGAGGCTGTGGCTTTTTAATTTATTTTTTTCGTCTTTTTATACACTAAATTGCAATCCAATAATTTAAGATAACTCTTTTGCAACAATTGATGATGATTCATATTTTTTATATAATATATTACGCATCTTTATAAATATTTATATTCAATAAGGTTAATCATTTCTATTTTAATATCAATTCACTTAATTAATTGAAGACAAATTTTAATACAATTTAGCTAATAGCAACAAGAAAATAAAAATGAAAGCAAAATTATTTTTTATTAATTCAATTGCTTTTGATATAGAAGAGCAATAAATAAATTTTCATTAGCTAGAACTTATTTATATGTATTAAATAAAAGTTATGGAAAATTTTAACTGAAGATTATTATAATTAAACGCACCAACTAAGTCATCCTATTTACATATTTTTTTTATACCCTTTAAAATAATTATATTATAAAACATCTCTGATGCAATCGGCGGTGTTTTAAAATATAATAGACCGTGGGTCGATTCTGATTGACTCATTATAAATTTATAGACCTCGCGTTAAGCAGGCCAGGCTGCTTTTCTTAAACACATCATTATGCAAATGAGCAAATTATTTACATAGAAGAGCAGCTTTTGTTTGGCTCGACGGCGCGATCATAAATACGCCAGTCGTGAAAGTCGTGAAGGGCCGCATTTTTTAAAGTGGCACTTTTGTTTCCTGCGAGGACCTTTTGCATTTTTCGCCAGGTCGCTCCGCATAAATAAGCCTCTGCTGAATTATTCATCCCTATTCTCTTTCGCGGCGCGTCTCTTATCTCGCCTGCGACGACGACGAGAAAAGCAACCGCGGGGAGCCATTCATTACCTCCCAATTGACAGCTACACCTCGTTCCACCTCAAATTTATTGCCATACTTTGCCGATTAAAATATATTAAAAAATATCAAACCAACTTATCAACCTATAAATTTCGAGGATTAAAAAAAAATTTATTTTCAATCCCCTCTAAAAAATTGGAATAAAATTTTAATTAATTTTATAAATAGTTAATTTCTTACAGCTTATGAAGAATTTTTATTATTTGAGTATTATCAAACTTGGCTGATCAAAGCACAATAGTGGCTACTGGCGAGCCAGTTCTCTTTACCCCTCTGCAGCTCTTCCTTTCTCATTCGCTCGACTCGAATTATAAAATGCCTTGATAAAATAATTCAGCTGCTTCCATCTTTCGGAAAACCGCTGAACCCCTTCAACCCTTTCCCGCGCTACCGCACAAAAGAGAGATCTGGAATTGTGTAGAAGATGCGACGCATTCTTTTTTTTTGTAACTATTCTATTGCGAATTTTCTTAATTAAAAATAAATACATAGTTAAGAGCCTATAATTTATTAAATTCAAGAGAAGATAAAACTGTTATATACAGAAGCAATTATAAAAATACATATAAATTACATAGAACTATTTATCAAACAAAAATTTAAGTAATGGGGAATTGACCGGCCAGAAAAGGTAATTAAACTTGAAACCGACTTTTAGAATTGCGAGATTCATGTGCATATTTTTAAATCACAAATTTTTCATTCATTTGGTAGTTACTTTCTTTAATTTAGTTACAGTTCTTTAATAGTAAATTGATATATTTAATCTAACTTTATTAATTTAAAACTAATTGCAAGAGCCTTGATCTCAATTAATTAAATATACTTAATTCTCTATTAATATTTTGTTTCAGAGGCATAGAAAAATTTCCATGAAAAAAACAAGGACAGTCTCGCAAAGCGTTTTCTTACTCAATTTATATTCATAAATGTGATATTTATTCTATTGTTTACCAGCAACACAATCTGAGTATTTTACAAAAATTACGTTTTTTTGTAATTTTTAGCAGATTTCTTTTTACAAAACGAAAATTGATTTTGCAATCAATTCAACCGAATGTGGCATTTCCTCATTGTTGCGGCTTTTACAAATTTTCTCTCTACCGACTGGTCTCCTTTCCACCCTGCGGAGGTCCAGCCTTTGCGGTTTCCACTCTGACCGCTGTCAGTCCTGCCTGATTAGAACGCGCGTCCTCTGCCCTCACACCGCGCCGCGTCCACATTCATTTTAAATTTAATCAATCAGATGCACTCGCCTGAAGCTATTTATTTTGATTATTTTTCAATCAATATTTTATGTGACAGCGCAAATATAGTTATATAAAAAATGAAACATAAAAATCCATTTCATATAGTTTTTTTTTTATTCAATATTTAATATTTATTTAATAAATATTATTACATTTAATATTTATTTAAATTTAATTTAAATAATTTGATAAATATAATTTTGTATTTATTATAAATTAAAGATTTAAATTTTTATTGGTAAAATTGGGCATCAAATATTCCATTATTTTTTTTTAATTACAAAATTTCATTAATAAAACATTAACCAATATTAAATAACCAAAAACTTGTGCTCTTATATTTTGAGAAATTTTATCGATACACAATGGACTTTCCTTACTTTGCTTTGTTTATTAAAGAATTAATCATTTTGTCTATCACGTCTGTTTACAATGAAAAATAACAGGAAGAATTTAGAAGTCAAAGCGTCAAGAGGTAAAACAATTAGGCCGAGGCTAATAGACTTTTACACGGGGCGCAATAAAAAAGCGTTGTTCCACGAATTAATTTATTAGCTTCCCCTTTGTGTTGAAAAACCACTGGACCGCTTACTGCTCTTTTCCCTCTCTCTCGTGTGTGAAAGAGAGAGTGATGAAAAATCCCTCTCGCTCCAGCTCTTTTTTGGCTAATTCTTTTTGTGAGTGCCGACGAAAGTATAGCCGAGGCCGGCCGGGCTTATCGCCCACCCTGCCTGCCGCGCGCGGCCGGCCAGTTTTAATTCCCGCCACTGACCACTGTGCAGTCGTCCGGTTTGTGCGCCTCGGGATAATTACGACGGCGACAACCATGAGAACTCGCTCTCTCATTCTTTCATTCTCTCTCTCTCTCTCTGTCGCCGCGTAGATTCACTCGCTTTTTGTCGCATGACAGATTAGCTGTCGGCCAGGCTCTTGGCGCAGACAAGATAATCCTAATTAGGAGACGCGAATGCACCAAGCTGATAAGCACCGCGCGGTTTTTCAATGGAAACTTCTGATCAAATAAAACTACTATCACTTGACGCTGAAATTTTAGAAAAATGAAATGATTTAATTTAAATATTTTTATGGACATTAAAAACGGGAATTAAAATAGAGAGTGTGAAATGAAAATTTAAGTGAAACATTCTTAAAAACAATGATTTGTACTCACATTATAGGCTTCTTTGCTGTTGCTTGTGGATGGAGCAGCCGGGGAACGAAATCATAAAAATCGGAGGCTCATGAAATCACCAAGTCCAAACGACTGCGTCACCCTAGAAGCAAACAGATTTGGTTTCAAGTTTTAATTCTTTATTTTTATAGGTGTTTTAGTTTCTATTTTAAAAATTAAAATACAAAGAAAAATTTGCTCTCAATATTTTTGCGACATAAAAGTAAAGTGTTTGTTGATATATCACAGAGCTTACAGTAAATATAATAAAGATTTGATTTAATTAAAGAACATTCTTCCGCTGAAAATAAATAAAAGCAGCACGCATGGAAATTTACTTAAAATGTAGAATCTTAATGCTATTCCTTTAATTCCTTTTCAGAAGTATAAGAATTTTAAAAAAACCTAGACTATTGTATCAGAACCGCCTGGTAACTAAATATTCCACATAATAGCTCAATGCAATTTATAAAAATATGAACACGGAAACAGAGCAGCAAAATTTAATATGGCTGAGAAAATTCTATATATTGATAATTATCTAAAAGTAACAACATTTTTTAAGGAAATTATGAGGCATAATTTATTGAAAACTGTGTCTCGTAAATTGCAAATGAAACTTTGCTAAAAACTGGAGATATCTTGATTTAATCCTGATAATTTTTGTATTTTATATAAATGCATGGATAATTGATGTGTTTATTGGTATAAATGCTGATTATGTATCAATAAACATTACTTAAAGCACTGCTTAAAACTAAATTAATATATTTACCCTACTACAGCTGTTATTTTATGAGTACTTTTATAAAATTATGCTTTATGAAATATTTTTTAATTATTACGTATATTTTAATTTTGCTTCGCTAACAATTATTTATTATGTATTAAGTACTGATAACTTTTTAGTAGGATTATTTTAAATGAATTATTTAAACTATTTTTTTTATTATTATAATATTATTAACAAGAAATAGATGCAAATAAATTTTAAGCGCAATCATTGTTAAGCTTCACAAGCTTAAGAATTTATTCTTAATTGTGTAATGAAATAAATATTTTGAGTAATATATTTAGTCCTCTAATGATGATGGAACTCAATTCAGCTTTTTGACGATCTTGAATGTTCATTTCTTAGTAATATATAAGTTAAGTGCTATTTTTAAAAAATGATAATAACAAGAATAAAGAATTGAAAAAGTGGTTAAGGGTTTTTGACAAGAAAGGGCTTTGCCACCCCACCAGCATAAATTTGACTAAAACAATGGATATAAAGAAGAAATCTGCTTATATGACAAAAACAAGCTTTCCCGGGGTAGGACATTTTAATGATTAAGTAGCACAATAACTTGCTTCGAAATTTTATATTTATAGATTATAAAAAAATTATTAATGAAAAAGAAAAAGGATTGGTTTATACTTCTTTTTTCAATTGTGTAAAACAGTTATTTGTAAAGAGTAATAAATTAATTTTATTTTCCTTCCCTTCATGCGTAGAAAATTTCAATTTTATCTTTTTAATTTTTCTTGATACAAATTGATTGCCCTTGTCATTCGAAAAACATCATTAAATTTGCAACGTTTTCTTCTGTGAATTATCAATGTAAAATAATAGTTATCTTTAAAATCAGAACTTCCAAATCTTATATGCTAAAAAATTTTGAAAGGCGTTGAGAGGGACGTGCGAAGAAAGCGATATAAACGCACTCAAAAGTTGTTTGGCTGGTCCGACCAAGAGAGCGATTTACATTATTTTTTCCGACGGGGCAAGCGCTGGCATTGTCTCCTTTATCGAGTGCTTGATATGAAATGGGCCCGTCCTAGCCGGGACCGTCGGCGCAGGGGTGTTTGGCGGAAAAACAAACTGACCCTTCTCACGGCCGGCCGCGGAAAACCGGACTGGTCACTTGCGGAAACGACACAGTAGCGGGTCATTCTCATGACCTCTTTCCAAAACTGGATCTTTTGGCCAGAATTGCGACTTTATCGTCCCGGTCTGCCCCGATAAGGGAGAAACAAATTTCGAGTGTATTGTGTTTCAGAAAAGGGGGACGCGCGCTGAGGGCAGCAACTGTCCGTCTTTCGGAATCCAGTTTTCAAAAGACTTTGTTGGCCCGTTTGAGAATTGAACAGCCGGCGGGGATATTCGAAGGATGCATTTCCATATAGGTTACTTTCTCAAAATATAAAATTGTATTAGCCTGTTTATTGAAAAACTTATCAATTTTTATTTTCAGGGAATAAAATAATCTACTGAATCACCTATTTAATAATAAACTGCACAACCATCATTTGATTTGACCAAATATGAGTAAGTCATTCATAATATCATTGTCAAATGGCAAGATATAATGTTAAAAAATTCGTCACATTAAAATATATTAATATCGCGAGACAATTTTTTATAAAATATCTTTCTTAAAATCAACCAATTATTATAAAATACAATAAAAATTAAATTTAGAATATGTTTAAATATTATTAGTTAAAATAATATAAAGAGATAATAATATTTGCTTTTAATTAATTTAAAATATAATAACACGTAACATTCAATTTATGATTAACAATCTGCAGTGCTTGCAAATCTACTATTTGAAGTTGAAAGAATATAATTAAATATTTTCTTCTATTTTACTTAGTAAATTTACTGCACATTCTATTAATAAATGTGTGGGAACTCAATAATGCGATATCCCTTTCCAGTTCAATAGGCTTGCAGAAAAAACTTGTCAAGAAGTTATAACGCGCTCTGTGGAATAGAATCGCCAGGCGGGTTCATGCAGAGTGACCCCGCGCGGACACACAAGGGCAATTCAAGCACGAACCTGTCTCTGTGAGAATTTTGATTTTTTCTAATGCGCTCATTTTTACGTGGCCTGCACCGGACTACCTCTTCCTTCCCTCCTACCTGCAACTACAATGCACAATCTCAAGCAACTAAATAACCAACTGGTCGCGGCCTCCCCCTGCAGCACGCAAATCACGGCCTATTCTGGAATCAGACACAGTTTTAATGAGCCCCAGTCACTACTCGGTCACAGCCGCGGACAAACACCAAAATTCACAACGCACCTCCACAATGTCTCAAAAGTAAGTCATAAATTATTCATTTAAAAAAAACTGCATGTTTAATTATTAAATTTAATTTGCAAATTTCAATTTAGAGGGACCAAAGAGGATACAAAAAAATTAAAAGAAGTAATAAACAAATTGGCCACTTACGCCCTATAATCTGTCAAAAATGTTAAAGAAAAATTAAGAAAATTCAATGAAAATATTATGAAAAATGAAAAAAGAACATTGTAACCATCACTTTTAATAATAATATTTTTTTATTATGCAATATTTTTATATTATTTTTATAACAATTTTAAATTTCATAATATTTTTTACATTTTAAAATTTTATTACGATAACAATCCTAATTTAAAAATATATTTTGAAGAACATATATAAAACAAAAAGTATAATATATGAACTACTCCACTCAACATGTTAGACAACAAAATTTTGAAAATCAACTTCTTCTCTCGGGTTTTCGTATTTCTATTTAATTAAAATTTGCGTATTTCTTTCATAAAAACAAAAATATGATCAAAATAATCCCAATCACTTTGAAGTTGAAGACGTAAAACTCATACTGGTAGAAAAAATCATTTGAAAATTAATGTGAATTTGTAAATTTTGATGGGTCTGCATAACTTTAAGTTAAATTTATGATTCCTAAAAAAATTAATACATCCAGAAGAGTGAATCTTTTTATTTAAGTTTTGAAAATTTGCATAAAAAATTGTTGAAACAATCAACTTATTAACTTATTTGTACATAATTTCCAACCTAAATTGAATGTTTAATTTATTTAAAAAGCTGCAAAGGCAAACTTCATAAAATATTCATGTTAAGGAATTGCACTATTTTTAACTGAAAAATATGTACTTAAAAAAAACTTGCTGTGAAATATTTGGTTCCGTTCCTTCATTAATTATTTTGTTAACACGGCGATAAATATTTGGTGTCATAAATAAAAGCGCGCGGTGTTTAATTGGTAAACAGGTAATTAACGCTGTTAGCGAGCGCAAGCAAGGTGAAAGAACACATCTCTCTCTGGGCGAACGTACATGTGGGGCCAAGTGGTGGCGGTGAGCGAGTGTTATTTTCTCTTGAATTTCTCTGCTTCTCGGACTAAAACATGCAGCGCGCATCCCTTATGGCAAACGAGGCTCGTTTTTGCCGCTGGTGTATTGTGGGTGGCTGCTGGCTGGGATTTTGGTTAGAAAAGCAGCAAAGAGGGCTTTTACAACATATTATATATAAGGCAAAGTAGAATTATGGGGCCAAAAACCTGCGAGAGCTCCCTCAGGAAACCGCTCGGGGCGGACAACGGTCAAGCCTGCTTTAAAACACACACGCAGGTCTCTCTTTCTCTATTTTCCAACTATGCGCGCGTGTCCTCCCTCTACACGTAACGAGCAAAAAATCAGAGAAGGGTTCGGATTGGATGAAGAAAGTTATCGCTTTGTTCTTGTTCATTAAAATCGGCTCCGAAAGAGAAAGAGAGAGAGAGAAATAAATTTGAGCCGCCCGAGCAGGGATAATCTGTTTTTGAGAGATTTTCATTTATGTATTATATAAAGTTACAGACTCGGCCTCTTTCGCTCTCTCGCTGCGTGCGTGTGTAAATATTATATTCCACTCTCGCGGCTGTTTGCTCGGTGCAAAAAGAATAAAGCTGGACCGACATGCGAGGGTAAAAACGGCGGCGCCCACTGTTTCGTAAAACACGATCATTCATTTTATACTTCTTGTGTGTGAGTGTAATTTTCTCTGCGCTCTAAGCAAAAAGCGAGGCCCCTTTTTACTCTCTATACTTATTAATTGTGCGGTTTTGCGCCGCAGAAATTGACCATAAATTCTCTTTCTCTCTCAATGGGAAATTTATTATTTTCGGGGATGCACATTTTATACGCATGCTGGAATCTGCGTGCGGTGGAGATTTTTATTGAGGGCGTGCTCTGCTCTCGAGAGTCAAACGTCGTAATTAAAAATTAACGAGATTAAAAGGCGGCGGATTCATTGTTCTTCCCTCGCCACCACACGCAC